TTGAGTTCAAATTGGTATAGATTGTGTTGAAAATGGTAGAAATCTTCAAAGACTTTAATTTAAGATTTGGAGGTCGAGTTGTTATTGGAATTCGATAAAATTGGTATGGTTGAACTCGTATAGGAATGAGTGTTCGGATTTCGTAAAAATTATGTCAGGTTCCGAGGGGCAGGCCCCGCATTGATTTTTGTTGACTTTTTAGAATAAATTTTTTAAGTCGACGCATTATTATCCGGAATTATTTCCGGTGAATTTTAATGAAGTTATACAATTAATTTGGATAGATTTGAGCTGTCCTTAGGTCAATTCAAGCAAGAAGGCTATTTTAGAATATCGGCCGAACTTCAAAAAGGTAAGTGTCTTGCTTAACCTCTAGTGGGGGAATTACCCCTTAGGCATTGAGTCTTATGTGCCATTTGTGAAATATGAAAAGCCGAGTACGCGAGGTGAGCTTATACATGCAAAATTCATTGAATAAAGGTCTTAGACATTATTGTATAGTAAATTGGAAAATTGTGGAAAATTATTAAATCATCTGTTTGCCATGCTTAAATCCTTATTGTTGATTTATTTTTATATGATAACTTGATGTGATTGTTACTTGAAATATTTATGAAATTGCGTGAGTATTGTTGATTTAATATTTCCTGGAAATAAATTCCAATATGAATTTTCTTATGCAAATAATTAATTTAAGCGAGCTTAAGAAAAAAAAGTGTTAATATAACTATCTAAATTTTCATTAATGAAGGCTTTGCTTTATGCTGAGAAATTTCTATCTCAATTGATTGTTTTGGGTGTTATATACATTGTGTGAAGCCTTGGGCTATTTGGTGTGAAATTAATTGATTTTGTTATATCTTTAGAATTTGGTTGTGGCCATTGGGCAAATTGTGATATGAATTGATTTTATTATGTTGTCGTGTTATTTTTCTGTGTAAATTGTTGTATTATGCGAGTTGTTATTTTGGGGAGATAAGGGTTTCATTTCATCGTTGATATTATGTGGGTATAAGGGTGGCAATAGGAGCGATAAGGGTGGCTATAGAAGTGATAAGGGTGGCAATAGGAGCGATAAGGGTGGCTATTGATATTGTCTGGGCGTAGCGATAAGGGTGGCTATAGAAGTGATAAGGGTGGCAATATGAGCGATAAGGGTGGCTATTGTTAGGGACGATATGGGGTTGTGGTGTTGATAATTTTCATGTGATATTGTGATTTCCCTTGTGTTTATTTTTTTTTACCTTGTGCAATTTGTCTTGTTGTTGGTAAATTGATAACAATCTGATTTATGTTGAAATTGAGAGCATGTGTCCATTGCTAGGCGGATTATAAAATGAAATATGGGCACGAGATGCCGTGAGTAAATAATTAGGATATTTGGCACGTGAATTGTCCGTGCAGTTGTGATATGAAATGTGGGCACGAGGTGCTGTGATGAAATGATAATAATAATTGGCACGTGAATTGTCCGTGCAGTTGTAATATGAAATCTGGACACGAGGTGTTATGATGAAATGATAATGATAACTGGCACGCGAATTGTCCATGCAGTTGTGATATGAAATGAGGGCACGAGGTGCCGGAAAAATATGATGATTTATTTATGGGCACGAGGTACCGTGGAAATATGAAAATGGGCTGAGACCCGTATTTTTAGGATTATGAAATGAGGTGTCACATGATGAATTTTAATTGAAAGAATTATATTCAAAATATTTATTTGGAAATTTTTATTCAAAAAGAATTATATAAAAAATTGTATTTGAAAGATATTTATTTGAGGAAATTATATTTGAAAAGATTTATTGAAAGAATTATATTTGAAAAATAATTATTTGAGAAAACTACATTTGAAAGAGAGTTATTTGGAAGAATTATATGTGAAGGATATTTATTTGAAAAACTTGAATTAATTGGGCGTACATGTATTTATTAATTGTTGAGTGATATTTATGGTATTCTTGTTGTCTTGCTGCGCATACCACTGGTTGTTTTATCCTGCCCTTGTTGATATCTTTTTCCTAGTATTTTGTATATTATATTGCACAGGTTATTAGACTAGTGAGTGTCTTGACTGTACCTCGTCTCTACTCCATTAAGGTTAGTCTTGATACTTACTGGGTACCGACTGTGGTGTACTCATACTACACTTCTACCATTTTTGTGCAGAGCCAGATATTAGAGATATCGGACTTGAGCAAAGTTAAAGTGGGATCATAAGGATTCAAGGTAGAACTACTTGCACGTCGCAGTCCCTTGGAGTCTTTTCATTTCATTGTATTGTTAATTTGTAATCAAACAGTATTGTATATTGGGTCCTCGTGATCATTTCATGTATTTAGTTAGAGTTCATGACTCAGTACTACCAGTCTTGGGAGGTTGTATATTGTAATTATTTATGCTGTTAGTTTTTAAAAAATGGCTTTAAAAGGTAATTGAAATCAGCTTTCCTAGTCTTAGAGACTAGGTGCCATCACGACGCCTGTAGTAGGATTTTGGGTCGTGACAGACCCAATCTCACCTAAAGGGCGTGATGGCGCCGGACCCCGTTATCAGGCAAGCCAACAATACAAACTTCACTTAAGTACACACTTAGTATTTTTGAAATTAAAATTTCTTTAATGAAACAGCAAGGATATAACTCATAGAGTAAATGATAAATATTTTTAGCAACTAAATTTCTAAACAATTCGTAACTGTTCCCAAAACCGGTGTCACAAGTGCATGAGCATTTACTAAGGACTAAAAAATGAAATACAACATCTGTCCAGAATACAAATTAGACAGAAAAATATAAATAACTCTGAAGGAGACTATGTTGGCTGCGGATCGTAATATAGAATGCAACTTACCTAAGTCCCCGCATTTTAACCACACATATGCGCCCATAAGGCCGTTAGACATATCTGTGCCTGCATAATAAAATGTGCAGCAAGTGTAGTATGAGTACGTAAACAACGTGTACCCAGTAAGTATCAAGCCTAATCTCAAAGTGGTAAAGACGAGATGGCCGACTTTTACACTCACTATGGGTCAATAATAAAAATTGAAATAAAACTAGACTATCTATATCAGCATGATTCACAGAATTTACAATAATTTATTTACCAGCAGAAATAATTAAATTCCTTCAAATGCAACAATTCTCAATATATTAATTAAATTCCTTCAATTCCAATAAATTTTTAATTTATCAATTAGTTTCATTTACATGAATAACAATAATTCCTTAATAAGCAGGAATAATAATTCTTTAAATTTCAAAGATTTTTAATTTATCAATTAGCTTCGCAAGCTGCAATAAACTAATCAAAGTATCGTATAATTATTATTATTAAGCACAATTTATGCCGAGGTCGTTCGGCCCGATCCAGAGTATTGTGTACATTGCCGAGGGACGTGCGGCACGATCCATAGATGCATCTATCTTGCCGAGGCGTTCGGCCCGATCCACAAGAAAGGAGGACATTTTCTTATGTACCTTCGGAATAAGAGTATTTATTGTAAAATTTATTCGAGAGGATAACAATTTATTTCGATAATTAATTAATCTAAACAAAAATTAAGCATATGAAAATTTCATCTTTTACTACCTTTCATAAAAATTCACAATATATATACATCAAATAATTTAATTAATAAAGAATACAATTTACACAAGTAATTCATGCTTTGAGTCCTAAACTATCCGGACTTTAGCATTAATAGTAGCTACGCACGGACTCTCGTCATCTCGTGCGTATGTAGCCCCCGCAATTAGCAATAATTAATTAATTTAATTACCTATGGGGTAAATTTCCTCCTCACAAGATTAGACAAGAGACTTAGCTCGCCTTACTCCAATTTAATCCACTAGTAGGCCTTTTTCTCGATTATCCAACTTTAGTTGGCTCGAATCTAACCAAAAATAATTCGATACAATCACTAAAATTTATAGGAATCAATTCTATAAGAAAATACTACATTTTCAATAAAAATTCCGAAAATAATTAAATATTCGTCTGTGGGGCCCACGTCTCGGAAACAGGCGAAAGTTATGAAATCTGAAAACCCATTCAATTACGAGTCCAACCATACTAGTTTCACTCAAATCCGACTCTAAATTGATACTGGAATCTCAAAAATTCGTTTCCATGAGATTTCTAAAATTTTCCCAAATTTCAATCTCAAAACACTAATTAAATGATGAGAACAATGATATATTTGTGTTTATAGACCAAATTCAAGTTAGAATTCAGGGTGGGCGTCAGTCGGTTCGGTCGGTTATTATGAAAGTACGGTTCGGTTTATCGGTTTCGGTTTTGTAATATTAATAACCAAATCAAACCAAAGCTTTTACGGTTCGGTGCGGTTTTTTCAAATTTCGGTTCGGTTATTTCCGATTTATTTTTTCTATTTTAAACGGTTGTAAGAACAACACGTATTTACGGTTTGTAGGAACATCAATAAACAAGGCTGGAATTTATTTGCTTTTCGTCCAGCCCAACAGCAAATTGTCATTTTGACTTTTGAGAAAGACAGCCCAGCAAATTGTCATTTAGTTGTTGTTCGTCCAGCCCAGCAACAGAGAAAGACAGTGGAAGACGGCAGTCTAACACAAGTTTTGCTGACAATAACACTCTAATTTGAAACTACACTATAAATGAAACCGAGAATAGACTATAGAGAACAAGCACACGGAGAGCAGGGAGGCCTTCAGTGGCATCAGTGCAAACAGAACACCTAAGTAGCAAAATACCGCACAGTTCAGCAGTGGCAAACTAGTCCAAAACAGTTTAACACAGTGGCAAATCTAGCAGCTACCAAAGTCCAAAATAAGTCTAGAAATACCATCACCAAACATCAAAACAATGGCAAAGTAGTCACAACTCACAAGCCACAAAGTAAGTCTAGAAAATGATATTTAAAGCCTTAAATACGAATCACTGGATGAAGCATGAGACACTTCTTAATATGCTTTACTAAACCATAAGTGTCATAATACTTTGGATGACAATTATAAACTCGACCACAATGAAGGCACTTTGCTTTGCGGGCTTCTTCATTTACTTTAACTAGTTCAAAATATTCCCAAATAGGCGATCTAGCTTTAGGACCACGAGGCATAGTTGAACCTACAAAAAAAAATTAGAAAATTTCACAAGTTAATAAAATATTTTTAATTATAAATAACAAAATAATATCATAAAACAAGCAAATCTTTAAACTTACCACTTGTTCAAACTATGCATCAACAATGCTATTATCTCTTTCAACAATGCAAGTTTCTCTTCCGCTCGTTGCCATATCTAAATATAATTTGATAAAGTGTGTCATCTAAACTTACAAAGTAACTAATTTTCACTAAAACATTCATATAACGCAAAATCTTACCAAGTTCAATTTGCTCAAGAAACTCCAAATCTTCTTCAACATTAATAGGAGTACCCTCACATCTAAACCAATCTTGAACACAAACAAGACTTTGCACCAACCGAGGAGTCAATGAACTCCTAAATGAATCAAGAATGCGGCCACCGGTGCTAAATGCACATTCTGATACAACACTTGAAATTGGAATGGCTAATACATCACGAGCTAGCTCAGATAGAATAGGAAATCGAGGCGCATTAATTTTCTACCAATCTAAGATTTTAAAGTCATTAGAATTATCAGACAACTGCTCTTGTCCTTCACCAATATATCTTTCTAACTCAGATTTAGCACCTACACTTCCGAAGTCTTCCTTTTGCCTTTTCAACAAATGCTTTATTCTCACAGATTTTGTTCTCACATTCCCACTAGATGGCTCAAATGTGTCATAAGATGAAGTAGATTTAGATGGAAATGATTGAAGATAACATCCTTTGGAATATTTTTTTTGATACTCCCCCAACAAAGAATTCAAATAAGCATCCACTTCGGCGGTTAATTTCTTCCCTGTTCCCTCCCCGAACATTTCCTCAAGTGCAAAACCAACATACTCTAATTTGTTATGAGGATCTAATACAGAAGCAATGAATATCATTTTATTCATCTTTTTCGGTTCACCCCAATATTTTTTTAACTTTTCTTTCATCTTCCCTGATATCTTACTCAAATTAGTATCATCACTAGCTAAACAAGCTTTCAAATTACTATCAAGCTCACATATATCCTCAAAATGACAATTAGAAGTAACATAACGTGAACCTGAAACTTTTTCGGTGAGCTCGTGAAATCTTTCAAGAAACTTTATCACGTTTCTCACATTCACCCAATCATCACATACAAATGGACCTGCAATATTCCCATCTTCACAAACATGCGTACAAAGATGAGTAAAAAATTCATCATAAAAAAGATGAAGCTTGTCAAAGGCCTTCTCAAAGTTTTGCGCCGTTTCCAACATCAAGTAGGTGGAATTCCACCTTGTAGGAACATCCAAACATAATGTTTTGCTACATTCCACCTCTTGATGTGCACAACATTCCCTAAACTTTAAGGTCCTTTGCAGAGATGATCTCACATACCTCACAACTTGTCTAACACGTTTTACAGAAACATCAATTTCCTTCAAACCATCTTGCACAATTAGATTAAGTATGTGAGCCATGCATCTCACATGAAGATGCTTACCACTCATCGAATTAGTTTTCCACATATCTAGTTGTTTAGACAATTCTTTGACCGTGACATCATTCGAAGAAGCATTATCAACATTAATAGTGAATACCTTATCCAATTTCCATTCAAGCAAACAATTACCAATAACTTTTGCCATTTCGTCACCCTTATGACTAGAGATAGGGCAAAAATTTAGTATTCTTTTATGCAACACCTAATCTCTATCAATAAAATGACCCGTCAAACACATATAGATAATTCTTTGTAACGAAATCCATGTGTCTGTGGTAAGACAAATTTTTGGTTTTACTTCTCTGAAATTTTTCATTAGTGTAAGCCTTTCTTCATTGTAAACTTGAAAATAATCCCTTGTAATTGTCCTACGAGAAAGAGCATTAAATAGAGGTTGGAGCATTAAATAGAGGTTGGGCTATGCTCATAAACTTCTTAAAGCCTTTATTTTCAACAAAACTAAAAGGTAATTTCTCCGTAATTACCATCTCAACTAAAGCCCTCCTAACTAGTTCTTGTTCAAATTTCCAAAGCACCCCACCATTAATTTGCCCATCCTTTTGTAAACACAATTGTGTTTGAGTATTATCAACTTTTCTTGGTATTTTTGGACACTTCTTTAAATGAGTATTCAATGATGTTATTCTATTCAATCGTGAATCAGCCTTATAATCACGACCACAATGTCTACACTTTGCTCTATCACCTCCATTATCATCTTTAAACTTTTCAAAATGATCCCAAGCAGTTGATCTAAATTGTATGGATTTTTTTTTTTGGGGCCTTAACTAGTTTCAACTGAATTTGTAGGTGAAGATGTGATTTTGCTTTCAGATGAACTCACCTCACTTACACTACTTTCAACTTCTGCCATCTATAGAAAATCGAATGAAAATTGAATTAAGGTCGAAACTCCTATAAGTCTATAACAAATAGACACTACAAGAAATCATAGCTACGACGACATTTATTTAGCGACATATATAATAAATATCGAAAAAAAACTAATTCTTTGATATTAAGATTTTGGTAAGTATTTTTCTATTCTAATCTGTTGTTCGCTGGATTAAATTTCTGGTTAACTGCATTTAAAATATTTTACATGAGGTTAAAGTTTGCACTTTCTTTGATTCATCTTTTTATGTTGAACTGGTTTTGTACTAGTAGTGATGAGATTATTAACATTATTTGGTTGTTCAATCGCTCTTTTAACTTTAGAGTTTATTTACAATACTTATTTATTGTAGTGGTATGTAAAGCAAATCATTTGCTTTTTCGGTTGGCCATAAACCTCCTTTGGCAGAAACATCCAAGCACCTTATTATTTTATTAGTGTACTTGATTGCTTTTTGAAATTTTGAGAGAATTTGTAGTGCTTAATACTAAAGTAAAGTTGTCCACACATTAGACCTGATTTTGAAATATACTGAAGTGAAAGACTAAGACGGTGAGACATTTTCTTTCTTCATACACAAAAGAATAACAGTGAGACTAATTGAAAATTAACATAAGCAAAAGACTAATAGTGAGACTAATTGAAAATCAACATACACAAAAGATTAAGACATTTTCTTTCTTCATAACTCAGAAGAACTCGCACTAACCTGAGGATGAAGGATGAGCGACGAGCTGAGGAAGAAGGCGTCACAGTTGAACTGAGGAAGAAGGCTCAGAACTCACAGGAACTCAGAAGAAGTCGCAGCAGTCGGCAATGACGAGTCGCAGCAGTCGCAGTCGCAACAGTCGCACAGGAAGAAGGAAGAACCGAAGAGGCGAACTTTTCAATTGATGTAGGTTTGAGAACCCTAAATCTAATTCTTTATTTAGGTTTGGAAAATGGGAAGTGACTAAGTGTAATGTGTATTAGTGATTTAGTCAGTTGTAACTGATGGGTTTGGACTTTGGGTATTAGACAAACTATCAATAAGTTTGGGTTTGGGTAAACTAAATTGGGCTTCAAAGTTCAAATAGATATTGGGTTTCAGCCTAAAATGGGTAATAACTAATACCCAAAATTTTGATTATTCGGTTAAACCGAAAACTAAAATACCAAAATCGTAAACCGCACCGAAAAACTAAAAATTAATAATTTAAAAATCGTGCACCGACCGAAAAATCGATTAAACCGAAACCGAAAAATCGAAATTAACGGTTCGGCCGATTTTTTCGGTTCGGCCTGTATTATGCCCAGCCCTAGTTAGAATCACTTACCCCAATGTCTTTTACTTGAAAATCTATCAAAGATCGTCTCTGCTCAAGCTCCAATTTGTTAAAAATGGTGAATGAGACGAATGCCCTCTTTTATAATTCTGCCCAGGCAACCCTCGATCATGGCCTCGATAGTGGCCTCGATCGTGGCCTCGATCCTCGGCCTCGATCGTGGCTTCGATCTTGGATCTCGATCTTGGACCTCGATCTTGGGCACGATCTTGGGCTCGATCTTGGGCCAGAATTTCCAGCATAAAGGAAAAATTGCATCACCTGTTTTAAGTCTAATTTTTGATCCGCTAACCATCCGAAATTCACCTGAGGAAAATCGGGACCTCAACCAAATATACCAGCAAGTCCTAAAACATCATACGAACTTATTTGAAACCTCAAATCACATAAAACAATGCTAAAACCACGAATTTTGCTCAAATTCAAGCTTAATGAAACTTAAAATTTCTAACTTTTACACTCGATGTCGAAACCTAACAAATCAACTCTGATTGACCTCAAATTCTGCACACAAGTCATAAATGACATAACAGAGCTATGAAAATTTTCAGAACTTGATTCTGACTCCAGTATCAAAAGGTCAACTCCCCGATCAAACTTTCAAATTTAAATTCTTATTTTTAGCCATTTCAAGTCTAATTTAACTACGGACTTCCAAATAAAATTCCGAACATGCTCCGAAATCCAAAATAACCATACGGAGCTGTTTGAATCATCAAAATTCTATTCCGGGGTCGTTTGCACATAATGTTGACCAAAGTCAAACTTGGCCTTTTAAGGCTAACTTAAGGAACCAAGTGTTCCGATTTCAACCCGAACAGTTCCAAATTCAGAACTAACCATCCCCGCAAGTCATAAATCAATAAAAGTACATTCTAGGAGTTTTATTTTAGGGAACGTGGTTCTAAAAGTTAAAATGACCGGTTGGGTCATTACATTCTCTCCCACTTAAATATACGTTTGTCCTCGAACGTGCTAAGGATTATTCCTGAGTTGCACAAAATTATTGTTTAACACCTCGTGCACCTACCCATGCTACCACACCCAGTTGAGCATATTAGCTTGAGCCAATCTGAAGATTCTCTCCTTTATTTTGGCAAATAAGCCTTAGAGCCAAATTCTAACATACAGAATTTTCCACCATGCTCGTTTCCAACTTATGAATACCGTATCAATCACTACACGATGCACCAATACAGGATTGCATACCTGGATTGAATTTAAACCATGCATCGCACTATTCACATCCCCATAATAACATACTCTATAACAACAGTCGAGATTCCACGAATCTGGTGTCCACAACACATCTCATGATACATATAAGTCATGTTCCAACTCTCGCAATGCTTCCACGATGGAAGAAATGTGTAGAAATTCATAACCAACTGCTGAGTCAATAATTTACTGAGTTTCTCCTTCTGATAAGGACCATTATCTCATTTTGAGCTGAATAACGATGTTTATTCTTTAATATACCTTATATAATTCTTATTGCACTGATTTCAGGTCCAATAGTCTCGTCTCACCCAGTATAAACTACGCAGGAAATAAGTCGCCTCAAACCCTGACCAAGGTCTCGTATGACGCCAATAATGCGCCAACATGCTACAAACTGGAATGTGATACAAAAGGAAAAATGAACTCTGGAAAGAACTACTCAACCCGCGTAACTAATTAGACAACTAAAAAGGTGGCATGAACCTTCC